AAGCAAGCAAGCAAGCAAGCTGGATTTTAAATAATTAAAAAAAATAATTGGACTTGCATCAATTTCATTAATTATCTCCCTTGACTTTCGCTCTTTAATGTCAATGTCAAAGGCCGCAAGAAATAGCTTCATTTTTTGAAAATTTAACTTGAACTTTAACTTATAGTGACTGCTATTTTCTCTAATGCGAGGTATTCCCAAGGAAAACAAATTAATTAAACGTTATTAAAAGTAAGTCTAATTTTTACTCTTTTTGTTTACGAATTACGGAGAGAGATACACGTTTTTTGTCGTTCTGTGTCTATCTCGTCGAAAAATAGAAATTTAAAAAGCTAGTTCTTATAATTTTTCTTACTTTTCGCATAAGAGTCCAAATTTGAGTTTTGTAAAGAAAAAACAATACTTTTAATAAAGGCTGAATTAAACAGCTAATATCACAATTGTCACTATCTGATGGACAAGAAACTCAAATGTAAACAAAAACAAGTAATAAAACTAAAAGAAAAGTCATCGTTACATCAAGACAGTTTTATGGTTCGTTAACTACACCAAAAGAACTGCTAATTTCATTTTTAAAATAAAAATGTAGTTTTGACGCGATCAGTTAGGTTTGACTTACAGCGACACAAAAAATTGCTGTAAGTTCAAAAGTACGATAGCCCCTAATAGAAATCAATATTTTATATTCTAATTATTTTTCTATCTTTTTAAAATTATTTTTAAAATAAATAGAACAAACATTAATTTTAAAAATTAATTCTAGAATACATTGTTCTGTAAGATAACTCAAATGCATTGTAATTTGAGTTTTTGATGTAAATGATTATTAAAGATTTTTTTTTTAATTCTTATAGCTTTAACAAGAAGACCAATCAGAAAAAAAAAGAGTTTTACATAGAAGATATATAAAATATTTCAGCAGAAATAATTAGGAGTCAGTACACATGTACTTAATAAAAATATCTGATCAATAGTCATAGGACATGTTATTGCTCAATACTTCGCTAAAAAAAAGAGTATAGTATACCGGGTGATACCCTGATGAAAAAAGTCCCAAACTTGAGTAAACAATTTTTATCGTCTAAATGTTTAGGTTATTATTAAGAGGAAAGACCAAAGTATTTTTTTAATATTTAAAAAATTTTTTTAATCCTTTCTAGCACGTCAGAAATTTTAGCTAAAAATCGTGTATTTTTTTTTTTTTTTTTGAGTCAGCAAAATTTATATAAAATCGATCATGTCAGCCATTTTTGTCAACTTTGTAAACAAAAGTGAAATTCTCCGTTTAAAAATCTTGTAAAATTCAATTTAAATTTTTTCAAAAGTTGTTTTAGGAAAATTTAAAGTATATTAATGAAATTGGAAAGAAGCATTACTTAATTTTTTAGCAGAAAAAGTTTAGTTGGAAATAAGAGAAGCATGTGTTATTTGTTTTGGAGATGTGAATTGATGTTTCCATCAATGTATCAACAACTAATGTCAGGGCAATTTATCAGACGGAAGGGCAGAAGTGACAGTATTTTTGATTTTTAAGTGAACCAGCTTATTTAACTATAAAGTAAGTCTTAAAAATTAAATATTCTCAAAAGTCTAATATTTTAGGTATTTTTTTAACAAATATATGTCCAAAGCCTGCAATGTCTCTGTTCCTAAAATTGAATCTAAAAAAGAAAAAATTAATAATTGCAGTATGTCTCTAACTGAAAAAGAAAAAAAAAATGATTAAATTAAAAAATAGAAAGAAAAAATTTAGTAAAATATGCAAAAAAAGAATATTAAAATTTTGAAAATGCAATGATGATGGTCAGTCAGAGAATTTGACATGAAATCAACAGAATTTATGAGGCCGGATCCTCGCTATCAAGAGAAACATCTCTTAAAACACGTGACATTATTTCTGAATTGTGCCTCTATAGTTTTGCCAGAAACGTTTTTAATACATTTTTTGGCATATTAAAAAATTATTGTAAAAATAAAAACGCTTCGCTGATTGTAATAAGCTTTCAAATTTAAGATCTCTAAAAATAAATCTTTTAATTAGAGCATTTTCAGAGGTACACATATTCAAACTTAATTTTAAAATATTTAACAACTTTATAACATTTTGTATTTAAAATTGAAAAAAAAAGAAAATGATTCTCATAAAAATTCATTTTTCTTTGAAAAAATATTTTGGCTTCAAACAATAATGCCCTTAATATATATTATTCATAAAAGCCATTAAAGGCTTTTTTAATTAAATAATGCCTTAGTTTTGTATTTTACAATTCAGAGCTAAAGTTTAGGTAGAAATGCTCCTCGATTTACAAAAAAAATCAATGATTTATATTTTCCAAAGTCTTCTGCATTTAATTAAAGAATTACTAAAATACACATATTCAAGTTTTTGAGTTTTCGTAAAATTAAGGTGGGGTAACAGATGTAAAAAAAAATATTTTTACGATGACTTTCTAAAAAACAAAGATTTCTAAAATAATTTAATTCATTTTTGAATAAGTTTCATTAAAATCCAACAATTATTTGATTTTTGCAAGAATTTCCAAATTAATGTTTTTTTCAACTGAAAAAAGTGCTGAAAAACTAATGCTAAATATTACGCAACCAACGATGTAAAAAAAAAATGAGATTTTCAACCAAAATTTCAAACTTGTTAGAAAGGAATAAAAAATTTTTTAAAATAATTAAAAATTACTTTGGTCTTTCCTCTTTTTAATAATATAAACTTTTTCATGATAAAACTTTGTTTTTATTAATTCTGGGGCCTTTTTTTTTGTCATGCTATGCCATTTTTTCGGCGAATTATCAAACATACCTAGAAGTGCATACTAACCCCAACTCCCAACCAGAGGTGAAGTGCTGATTGATGGCTTTTTTTTTTTTACCTACATTTATACATTACAAATAAAATTAACCGTAACTGACTAATAAAGGATAAAAAACTTTTGTGGATTTTGACATAATTTTGGGTTTCTTTTCTTTTTTTTCTTTTTTTTTGTCCAAATTCACGAATTTGTTTTGTTCATGCTATTCACTATTTTTTATTCGTAATGTTGAATCTGTTAAAATCATTCAAATTTTTAACAAGAAAAACCTCAAGTTGGTGTTAAAATTGCCACAAACAATAAACATTGTTAATTTATTTAAAACGGAATGATTTATTTAGACATATCTCTAATTTGTATTTAGATACATTGTATTTATTTTCAATTTTCTAGTTAAATCGTTCACTTATGTTGCATATGATGCATTATTGTACATAATTAGGTTACAATAGAATTTGTATTTTATGAAAATTGAGATGTAATAGAGTAGAGTTGGGGGTGAATATTATAGATTCAGAGGTAGGTTTCGGTGGAGATGGAGGGTGCAAGACTTGCATCAGCACTGAAAGGCCCTATAATATTTTTTAAATGATTTTAGAATAGTTTAAGAGAATTTTTTGCTATATCATTTTATATTTACTTATTAAAGGGCAAAGTTTGTTTTTTTTCAAATGAAATAATAAGGTTGTACACCTTTTGAAAGAATGAATATAGACTTATTAAAAATGAACAGTAACAAATATCACAATAATCAACGGATATATCAGCCAATCAATGGACACTTGATGATGACTAAGGGGTACTTGATTGAAACGCTGTATCTATAATAATGTCTATCTCAACCAATAGTTTGAAATAATACAAGAATCGTCCTTACAATGTTAAAGAGTTATTTTTGTATTCAACTGGGCAAAGGTCATCATTAACAATTCATGAAAAATGAGAATACATATACCCACTTTCATATCTTATTAAAAGTTTTATTAAAGTTTAAAAATAGCTTTTCAAAACAATAAAAATTGCTGAGGAACTAGACAGTAATTGCAGTGCCAAGAGGAAAAAAAAATCTTAATTTTGAGACTGTTTTTACTTTTTTGTTGGTACTGTTACATGTTGATAATTGTAACAAAGGAAAAAATGATTTATCATAACACAGAGCTAAATCACAAACAAATTTTTAATTTACTAAAACAGAACATAAAATATATACAGGATAAACAATTGTGGCCTACAAAACAGAAAACACAGTGACTGGTGGAGTGTTACGAGGAAGAAGGAAAGGGAATCAAATATCTTTATCACTTTAGGGCTAGTGAAGTAATCTAAGTGCTATATTTGGAAATCCACAAAGGTGTGTAAATAAATATTAATTTTAGTTTGGTCAATGAAAATTAGTCAAAATTCTATTTACCAACTTTGTTCCATGAAATTCTCTTTTGGGTTTTTTGGTTGGTCGGCAACTTTTTATAGAGATTCTTTCGGCTGGATATAATAGTCCTTGAATCAAAAGCCGGAGTTGATACTGACAGCAATTTGTTTTCACCAACTGACAACCCTTTTCCAAAATTCCATTTTTTATAGGGGCTAACACCTAATTTGCATATTTCTAGATGTTTCTCGAATCATCTAGATTTTCTCGAATATACTAGAATGATCTAGAATCTTCCAAACATTCTATTTCTAATTTCTCTATTTTACAACTACTTCATGAATGAAAACTTTTTTGTAATAACAAGTAGAACTCAAAGGAATCCCTTATTATAGAAATGCATCCTCGTAACAGGTACAAATGTCAAGAAAAACTCTTCTCGTGTAAATCTTTTATTTATTGCTGATTTCAAGAAAATCACTGTTTTAAGTGAAATATACTTTTTCATATTGTTTCATTTATAAGCTTTCTTTCAGTTTGTTGATTTGTGTTTTTGCAGGTTATTTAAAGCCAGAAAATAGTTTGAGATTGTAAGAAAGTTTGGGGGATAATAATAATTTATTAATACAAGTCTTACTAATTAACCCATATCTGAGAGAGAAGAGGCAAATTCATACCTTTCTCAAGGGTATTTGCATGTAATTGAATATAACGAACCCAGCTGGAATTGGAACTCAGCTCTCAATTCCCAATTTCTCATTCTGAACTGTTATCTGTTACACCAGTCGCACACCCACACTTGCAATAATGGTATTCTGAAGTGGTCACCCATGCAGGTACTGACCAGGCTCAACATTGCTTAACTTCGGTGATCATATAAGAACCAGTATTTTACTGTGATATGGCCGTAAACATTTCAAAACAGAGTTGTCCATTATTTGTGAGCGTAATGGTCATGCGCACTAACAAAGGGATGAACAATCACAATTATAATAGGATGATTTCATCTATTTTATTATGGTGAATGCATAATGAGATATGTTAAAATTCATTGGAATCTATAATGAACTAATATAAATTTTTTATTGCAAATACATAATAATAAAATATTTGATTTTTAATAATTTCTTTACTTTTTTCAGGAATTTTTACTTGTGGTGGAAAACGAATGAACACCTGATGGCCATATGTAAATTTTGAATGGAGATACAAAATCTAGGTAATAATAATAATAATGTTATGTTTGGAAATTTGCAGTGTATGAACAGAAACGTTGACAAAACCCACCAGAAAAAGATTCTTTTGAAATATAAGTATTTGTATTTTAGAATACTTACACCAAAACTTATTTTTGTTCAGAATATCAGTACATCTGTAAAAATATGTTCTCATAAAATGAAAGATAAGCAAAGACATGCTGGTAGGAACCCCTATAAGTGTCTAGCATGTAGATTGACATTTTCACAGAGTTCACATTTCATTAATCACATTAAAATGCACACTGATGAGAAACCATATTTACGTGGAGTGTGTGGGTCAGTATATTCACAGACTTCCAGTTTGAAAAGTCACATGAAAACACATGCTGGAGAGACACTTTATTCATGTGAAGAGTGTGACTCAGTATTTTCAGAGTGTTCAACTTTGAAAAATCACTTGAAGACACACAATAAAGAAAGACCATATTCATGTGAAGTGTGTGGTTCAGCATTTTCACGGAGAATAAATTTAAAATGTCACATGCGAACACACACTGGTGAAAAACCATATTCATGTGAAGTATGTGGGTCGGCATTTTCACAGAATTCAAGTTTGAAAAGTCACATGCGAACACACACTGGTGAGAAACCATTTTCATGTGAAGTGTGTGGCTCAGCATTTTCACGAAGAATTCATTTAAAATGTCATATGCGAACACACACTGGAGAAAAACCATATTCATGTGAAGTGTGTGGTTCAGGATTTTCACAATGTTCAAGTTTAAAAAGTCACATGAAAACACACACTGGAGAGAAACCATACTCATGTGAAATGTGTGGTTCAGCATTTTCATGGCGATCACTTTTAAAAAAACACATGCAAACACACACTAATGAGAAACCATATTCATGTGAAGTATGTGGTTCAACATATTCCCAGAGTTCAAGTTTGAAGAGTCACATAAAAATGCACACTGGGGAAAAATTGTATTCCTGTGAAACATGTGGTTCAGCATTTTCAAAAAGATCAGGTTTAAAAAGACATATGCAAACACACACTGGTGAGAAACCATATTCATGTGAAGTATGCAGCTCAGCATTTTCACAAAGTTCAATTTTAAAAAGACACATGCAAACACACACAGGTGAGAAACCATATTCATGTAAAGTATGCAGGTCAGCATTTTCACGGAGAGCATATTTAGAAAGACACAGACAAACACACATTGGAGAGAAACCATTGTAGGGTATTATTAATAATAAATATAAAATAGTAATAATAATGAATATCATAAATAAAATAAATCAATATTAAAACTTTGTTTAGAATAAATAGAACCCCCCCCCAAAAAAAAAAGTTCTCCCAGAATGCAACAAAATATTTCCTGCATGAAAACGAACTTCACACCAAGAGACGCTGAATTCATTCTCTTCGCTAAGAACCATTGGAAAGTCAAGACATCCATTTCCTCTCCTCAAGACATTGCTTGTTATAATATGAAGTGTCTTCTTCCTTTTATCACATGTAACCTTAAAACACTTGTAACAAAAATACACACACAAGTACACAAAAATAAATAAAATTGCATGATTTTAATTTACAATTTAACATGCTTTCAGTGTTATTTCTGTGTATGTTTTAATTCCTGTGAACACTTGGCTATTTCTGCTGCTATGATGTGAGTGACCCCAAAAGTTCAGATTTAAAACTTCACATAGGCACACACATTGGGGAGAAATTTTAAAAACTCATCTGTGAACACCAGGGAAAATTAATATATGAAATCTGTGTTTTTTTTTTTTTTGCACATATTCAATAAAAATTGACATGTGAACACTGGGTAAAAATAATATATGAAATTTGTGGGGTTTTTATTTTTGCACATATTCAATAAAAATTCACATGTGAAAACAATATATGAAATCTGTGGGTTTTTTTTTTTTTTTTTGCACATATTCAATAAAAATTGACATGTGAAAACAATATATGAAATCTGTGGTTTTTTTTTTTATTTCTGCATGTATTCAATAAAAAAAACCCTCGTTTGCAAACCTGTGCAGGAGAAGAACTATATTTATCTGAGACATTCTCGTCGGTGGCTTGAGTAGCCTCACAAACACATACTAAATGTAACATGTGAACATATATCTGAGAATGGCAATATCTGTTTACTGTATCAACCCAGTGTTTAAGTGGCATTGTGCAAACACTGAAACCATAATTATGATATGTTCAGCATTTCTATTGTCATCATCTTTGAAAATCCAACACTGAAAACAGGAAGAAAATCATTTTCACATGTTTCTTTCTTTTTTTTTTTTATAATCATTTCACTCCCAAATAAGTCAAGGGGTTATTAAGAAGAGAAAACATTAAAAGAACAGGAATTACGAAGACAGCAATTGACATTGCATTTAAATATTTAAAGATCAAAGCGAACTGGAAAGCAAGAAGCCGAAAGAGAGTTTCACAAGTGAGAAGTGCAAGAGAAGAAACTCTTTGCATAAAGTTCTGGTTACATCTAGCCATTTCAACTGTAAGATTTATAACAAAATTGATTGAAAATCCAAACTGAGACATTTTGTTTTAATCATATCACCACAAGCAAGACAATAAAGCCACTGAGAGAGAAGAATTACTGAGTGTGAAAGACAATGAGAAAAAGAAAATATTTTTAAGGGGAGGGAACAATAAAAGAATAGAAATTAAAAAGACGAAACATAGTGATTGACATTGCATTTCAATTCTTGAAGATCAAAGTTGACAGGGAAGAACCTGAAAGAGAGTTCCATAAGCAAGAAGAGTGAGAGAAGAAACTGTTAGCAAAGAATTTATGGTTACATCTAGCCACTTTAACTGTAAAATGATTAAACCAATCAAATACCACAAATGCCTGATGAATTGAAGCATTGGTTCATGAATTTGGGGACATAGTGATTGTGAGTTCCATTCCTGGGTAGGGCATTATATAGTTGGTCTCAGTGGAAATGAGTTGAGCAATAACAGATCAATAGTAAATGAGAATATCAAATGCATCTGCTGAAAAAGATGTTGATAACTGACTCGATGCTGCCCATGTGGCATATGAGAGGCGATTCAAAAGAGGCTTCAATAATTCTAGGCTAACTCAAACCATCAAGCTCATGGTCTACCAAAGTATTGTAATCTCGAGTGTACGCCTGTGAGACCTGGGTAACTCTACCAAAAAAACATCCAGAATCCTGAAAGATTGCATCAGATAAAATTTTGTCAAATCCTGCAGGATACCTGGCAAGAGCGGTTCTCAAACAACAAAGTTCTTCTCTGCACAGAGATGGAGAGCTTAGAAACCATCATGATTTGCCACCAACCAATGGGCCAAAGATCTTGTCTGAAAGTCAGACATCCGCCTACCCAAACAAATATTCTTCTCAGAGATTGCATCTGGCAAGAGACCACATGGAGCCCCAAAGTCAATTGGGAGACAGAAGCTGCAGAAAGAACCAATTAGAGAAGGGCAGTCAGACAAATAAAAGCAATGACGAGAACCCCCCCAAAAAAAGCCTGAGCTTTCTATCCCCTTCACCGTCCTATCATGCAGTGGCTGCAGACGTCTCTTCAGATCCAACATAGGACTTATTTTATGCAGAAGGAAAAGTCAGTGAACATGCCAATACTTGTCAACAAGTTCTACCAACAATGACAACTAAACAAGAACTAGTGGAGACATCCCTAGACTTAGCTAGCAGAACCACCAATCTCTGTAGATTAAATAAAGGGTTTAGTTTCTTTAAAGATTGTATAGTCCCTCCTTTATTCTCTAAGTTGTACTCATGTGGACTTTTGAGCTAGCTCTTGTGGAGGGCTAATCCAGCCTCTGGCTCAAAACTAAAAGAACCTCTGATCCTGCTTAGAAAACAGCAATGATAATTTTGAAGAAATAACTTTGAATTCCTAAATTCACCCCCATAGAACTTCAAAACCTCACTTTAACTCTGATTCAGGCTATAAATTCAATTCCGGTCAAAAGACCAATTTGGGCCAAAATTCCAATTCATGCCAAAAATTAGGTTTTTCATATCAGAAACACTGTGAAACTTCAATTGTTAAGTTCTTCAAATCACAAAATCTGTGGAACTTCAAAACCTCACGTCATGAAACCTTTCACTTTAACTTTGATTCCTTGGCATTTTAAAGAAATAAAATTCATTTTCTCAATTTACAAAGTTCTGGAAATATTTTAAACTGAATTTAAAACAAAAAATTTTAAATTCACAAAGTTTTTTGTGTTAAACTCAATATAAATTAAAAACTTTTTAAAATCACTAAATTTTTTCAGTTATTTTAAAATTTGAATTTTCAACTGTTCCCTCCTCATCCAGACACAAATCCCAATGCTGGATGTTCAAGCACCAGATGAAGGGCAGATTTTCAATCCCAGGATCATCATGATTCCAAAATGTAGAGCAAGTGTGACCTGATTTAGAGGTGTTTCAGACACACAGACAGAATTTGCCATTTATTTATTTAGAAGATAAATATTGCTTAATCCAAAGGAAATCAAATCAAGCATAAGAAAACTGAAACAGAATGTTTGGTTTTTCAAATTTACTGAAACACAATGTTCTTTACTTTTTATGTAAATTACTAATTTCTTCAATCGGGCCTCCCTCTGCCCAAAGAGAAAATGCTTTGAAGCAGTTATCTGGGACCTACTCTATCTTGACGACTC